AGGTGCCAGCCATGCCCTGGCCAGAAACCGTGCTCTTTTTTTATTCTTGGAGACGTTGGGTGCCAGGTGCTGCCCACCTCAGGCAAGCTGGTGTTTGTCTTCTGGCTCAGTTTGTCAGAGGCAGGCAGCCAGGCAGGCCTGCAGCTCTTTCACCTCCTCCGAGTGCTCCTCCAGCTTCCCTGACTCCTGAACGTCGTGCACATTGAGCTGTGACCATGGGCCCGGGTTTGACCAGCTTTTCTCCATTTCCTGTCTATCTTCCCTTCCTGACTGGCTGCTCTGCTGCCTTAAGGCTCCAGCTCCAGATCAAAGCTGACAGCCTCACTAGACTGTGAAACCAACTCCCACAACTACAGAAGGTCAAATTCTTCATAAACCCCTTTCCTGGTAGCTCTGCTTCCTGAACACTGCCAGATACAGGCTGTCAGAGTCAGCAGATCCCACTGTGCCCAGCATGTCAGTGCGGGATGAGGATGAAGATGGCAGCAGAGACCCTTGGGTATCAGAGACAAGTCTGTAGAAGACTTAGGCACAGCACTGCTTGGGAGAAAACACCTCTCAAGATTTGGAAGTTTATACTCTGGACCAGTGACTAATATTCAGGGCTCTTTTCTAAAGGCAGAATTTATGGGTTAGGGACCAAGAGGAAGGACCTCGCACTATTAATCCTAATGATTTTGCTTTCCCTTCCTGTGGATCCCTACTCTGTTGGTTTGGAGGTCTTACTGCTCTAAGAGAAGCATAGTTCCACCAAGGGGGCACTAATGGTTCTATATCAGAACCTGAGGTCACTTTCTCTCCAATTTGGGTTCCTCATGCCACTGAACCAAAGGCAGAAACGGGATTCACAGGGTTACTGGTGATGATTATCAAGGGAAAAAGGGGTTTTTGCTTTATAATGGCACACAGGCTGCTAGCCACCCAATTTGTGAATTAGACAGAGGCAGACACTGCCCTGCAGCCAGCACACAGCCCGGCACCCTGAGCACAGGCTGGAGGACATTCTGCAGTAATGATATCATCAGCAGAGCCTTATATTTCTAATGTACTTAGCCTGCCTAATTGCAACAAGCTTGCATGTGAAGTTAAATAGTGTCCTTATTTTACTCCTGACTCTAAGGGGATCACCCCTTTGGTTTACCAGTAAGTATGACGGTTAACTGTCAGCTTGATCCCCAAAAATACCTGAGATGCTGACTACTTCCAATGGCTTCCTCAATTAACATTCTAGTTCAAGCTGCTTGAACCACTTGGAGTGTTGCTTTAGCTTCCGAATCAGCCCTCCAGCATCTGCCATTGCTGTCCTACTTCTCCTCAACACAACAGCTAGAATGATCCTGCTTTAATGAAAATCAGATTATTTCAGCCCTCCACTCAGAACCCTCTGATGGTGTCCTGGCCCAGGCAGAGCAAAAGACAAAGTACTCACAATGGCCTTAAGGTGCAGCAGACCTGGGGGTGCCCTTCTGGATCTCCCCTTGAGGAAGGCCTCATGGCCCTGGGGCACGGAGGGTGGTGCCCTGACAGCCTCCAGGGGTCAGCTCCTTCAGCAGTGCTTGGGCTGTGCAGCCAAGCTCATTGTCTTGGAGGGGTGTTCTCAAGGCGACTGAGCAAGGAGGTGGCACACGGGTAGCCATCAGAGCCCAAGGCCCAAGGCAGGGCTCTTCTGACAGGCAGGCTTGCTCGGGAGCCTCCCTGAGAGAGTCTGCAGGTTACCTTATGGCCTGACAGCCTACCCTGCCCAGTCCTTTCCTGGGTAGCGCTCCCTATAAGTATTTGCCCTCCTAATTCCACTGCAGCCTCTACTTCTAGAGGAGTCCCAGCACCCCAGCAACTCTCCCCCATCTCTGCTCCAGGCACGCTGCCTCCTTGTTATTCCCCAGACGAGACAGTCCTGCCTCAGAACCTTCATGTTCAGCATGACTTCTGCCTGGAGCTGCCTCCTCTAGACATCCACAAGCCACACTTCCTCACGTCCTTCAGTGTCACCCTGATAATGTTAGTTAAGGCAGCACAGATGGCCTCACATACACTGTCTCCTATCCCTGCTTTATTTTTCTTTATAGTATGTATCACCATTGGATACATATGTTTTACTTCTTTATTTTTAATCTCCCCTGGCTGGATGTAAGAATTCTAAGAGCAGGGCTCTTTGTCTGCTTTGTTTTTTTTTTTGTTATTGTTGTTGTTTTGTATCATTAATATACAATCACACGAGCAATATTATAGCTACTAGATTCCCCCCATGATCAAGTCCCCACCACATACCCATTACAGTCACTGTTCATCAGCATACTAAGATGCTATAGAGTCACTACTTGCCTTCTCTGTGCTATACTGCCTTCCCCGTGCTTCCCTTCCCCCAACTACATTATGTGTGCTAATTGTAATGCCCACTTTTCCCCCTTATCCCTCCCTTCCCACCCATCTTCCCCACTCCCTTTCCCTTTGGTAACTGTTAGTCCATTCTTGGGTTCTGTGGGTCTGCTGCTGTCTTGTTCCTTCAGTTTTTGCTTTGTTCTTATGCTTCACAGATGAGTGAAATCATTTGGTACTTGTCTTTCTCCGTCTGGCTTATTTCACTGAGCATAATACTTTCTAGTTCCATTCATGTTGTTGCAAATGGTAGGATTTGTTTTCCTGGCTGAATAATATTCCATTGTGTATATGTAACACTTCTTCTTTATCCATTCATCTACTGATGGACAGTTAGGTTGCTTCCAATTCCTGGCTATTGTAAATAGTGCTGCGATAAACATAGAGGTGCATCTGTCTTTTTCAAACTTGAGTGCTGCATTCTTAGGGTAAATTCCTACAAGTGGAATTCCTGGGTCAAATGGTATTTCTTTTTTGAGTTTTTTGAGGAACCTCCATACTGCTTTCCACAATGGTTGAACTAATTTACATTCCCACCAGCAGTGTAGGAGGGTTTCCCTTTTTCTGCATCCTTGCCAGCATTTATTGTTTCTAGTTTTTTCTATGTTGGCTATCCTTACTGGTATGAGGTGATATCTCATAGTGGTTTTAATTTGCATTTCCCTGATAATTAGTGATGTGGAGCATCTTTTCATGTGCCTGTTGGCCATCTGAATTTCTTCATTGGAGAAGTGTGTCTGTTCAGATCCTCTGCCCATTTTTTAATTGGCTTATTTGCTTTTTGGGTGTTGAGGCATGTGAGTTCTTGATATATTTTGGATGTTAACCCCTTGTGAGATGTCATTTACAAATATATTCTCCTATACTGTAGGATGCCTTTTTGTTCTGCTGATGGTGTCCTTTGCTGTACAGAAGCTTTTTAGTATGGTATAGTCCCATTTGTTCATTTTTTATTTTGTTTTCCTTGCCCAAGGAGATGTGTTGAGGAAAAAGTTGCTTGTATTTATATTCAAGAGATTTTTGCCTATGTTTTCTTCTAAGAATTTTATGGTTTCATGACTTATATTCAGGCTTTGATCCATTTTGAGTTAACTTTTGTGTATGGGGTTAGACAATAATCTAGTTTCATTCTCTTGCATGTGGTTGTCCAGTTTTGCCAACACTAGCTGTTGAAGAGGCTGTCATTTCCCCTTTGTATATCCATGGTTCTTTTATCATATATTAATTGACCATATATGTTTGGGTTTATATCTGGGCTCTCTCATCTGTTTCATTGGTCAATGGGTCTGTTCTTCTGGCAGTACCAAATTGTCTTGATTACTGTGGCTTTGTAGTAGAGCTTGAAGTCAGGGAGCCTAATCTCCAACCCCCCCCCCCCATTTTATTCTTACTTCTCAGGATTGCTTTGGCTATTGTTGTTTTTTATAATTTGTGTCTTTCAGCATCTAGAATATTAGAAGCCCAGACATGCTGCAGCCAGTGGAGAAATGTTTCCCACCTGACTCTTCTCCCTTCTGTTCCTTCTCTTTTCACCTGAAATCATTCCACACTTTCTTTCTCTTCTTTGCTCACTGCACTGCACTCCTCTCCCTGTCACCTCTTCCTGTTTTCTGGCCATCCACTTTGGACGTCTCTTCCCTGAGGTCCTATAGGCCATACCAATGATCCTTCTTGGCATCTCTATAAATCATTTCTTTTAACTCACAGCAGATAGTCTTATCACCATTTGCATCTGTTCCAGCACCATTTTTCTGTGTGTTCTTCATTTATTGGAAAATTTCATTCCCCCTTTCACTTGTTTATCTTATAGTATTTTTGTATGGAAGACCTATCTGCTTCTCTTTTTTGTTAAAGATATTAGAAAGAATTGGTTTTTCTCAGACCAGTTATCAGCAGAGGGTTTCTACAGGTGTAACAGTCATGGACCATGTGAGATCTAAATTTTGAAAGGTAAGGACTCCCTCCTCTCTTGCTACAGCAAAGGACTGCTGCCTTCAAATAAAGCTCCTCTTTGGTGTAGCCAGGCCCCCTTTCCTCTTCAAACTGAATCAAGTTCAGGAAGGCTTCTACCACCATCCCTCCTCTCCTCAGCAACTCTACCAATGGCAGGCTCCAAGAGACACGCCTCTGCCTTTCAAGGTAATACCATCGCCTTGGGAAGCATGTTTTCTGTTGACTTCCCAGAGACCTGCTGCCCATGGGCTCCCTGGGCATCTTCAGTGCCCTTTCTCTCCGCCAACCCAACATTCACACTCTCATCTATCCCAGGTAACTTGGCAGTTACCAAGTCAGTAGGCTGCCTTCTTTTTACGATCTCCCTGGTCTTCCTTGTCCTTGTTACTCTGCCCGGCCATCCCTGTGCCGGTTCTGCATGGCATCCTGTGCTGCTCCACCTGTCCCAATGGATTTTGCCAGTACATCTACATAATCTGGAGTGCGAAACATTTTTAACTAAAAAAACATTTCTTATTGCTCTATTTCTTTTTCAAGAAAAGAAGATTCATAATGAAAATTTAGCCTTGTTTGTACAGCTTTTACATTTTAACTGATTAGAGTAGCATGAAATATAGGCCCACCTGTGTGTGTAACCATCTAAATTGATTCTTATATAAAATAAAATTTACCTCATACTTGTTCAGTTCTTGAATTAACTGTTTTTCTTTGACAACAAATTCCTCCTCCTCTTGTTTTAAGTCTATTGTAAGTTGTTCAATCTGTGCCAAGAATTCATTGATCTCTTTTTCTCTATAACTGGTCTAATTAGAAGAAAACGAGGATTTGTCATTTGTCTTGTAGCAGTCTGCCTTGCATTTCTAACAGCCAGGTAAATTAATACCTCTTTGTATCACACTTGGCTCTGAATTCAGGTTATTGTTACTTCTCAGCAACCACTGTTGGCTTTCCTCCTAACCCCAGGGTTAATTTCCTCGCCAAACGTTATGTATCTGTAAATGACATGAGGAAATGGGGAAGGGGAGCTGTGGGGGATGAAGGGTGGGCAGAGGGTAAATTTAGGAGCTCAATAAATGATGTTTGGCATCTTTGCTTTTAGAGATGGTTTCCCAAAAAGCTACCTTCATCAGTTTTTAGTTACATGCTTTCAAAGCATATTGTGGAGAGAATGGCTATTTCATTTGCTAAATTCCACTGTATAGTTAATATGTAGCAAATGGATACATTTCTTAAGACAGTTACCTAATTCACTCTAAACATGAAGTTGGCAGAAAGGAATATACCTTGTTTAATTAAATATTAAAGGAGAATTACTGATATGCAAATAGGACTAATACTGCATGTCTTGAGTTCTCTTACCTCTTGTAGTAATTCATTGTGTTTAAGTTCTGCAGCCTGAATTTTATCTGTAATTTCTCTTAGTTCACTCTTTATCCTCTTCATCCAACGTGTGTGCTTTTTTTGCAAACACACTATTTTCCACTGAGTTATAATGCTAGAGATTAGAAAGAAAAGAATAATGAAATTGATATAACTGTTTACCAAAAATATAAAGGAATTCAAAACAAAACAAATTCTGCTATGACTACAGAAAATTATTTGTGTTATTGGTAATGCAGACTATGAATATTAGCTGAAAAAATAAAGACAAAATGTTAACTGCCACAGTGCTTCTCTGCAAGTGGCCTCACAGTAAGATGTCGTGTTGGTACATCCAGTAGGATGGGATGAACCACATTTGGCAGCTTTTATCCTTTAGTGGAAGGATAGAAGTGTGGAGAGCTCAGGGGCAGGTAGAAGAAGTAGAGGCCCCAGCAAAAACAGTAAAGGAGTTGCCTAAAGTGCTAATAAGAGATTTCAACCTTCTGGGTTAACATAGTTTTCTCTCCACTACAATATAAAAAATCTACATAACTGGAGAAGGGTAAAAATGTGCAATTGGAGTCGTAAATAATAGCAACAACAACGAGATACAGCTAAGTCTTTGCAAATGCTTTCCACACACTAGGCATTGATCTCATTCACCACTCACAATAGGCTTACAAGGTGGGCGTACTATCACCCCCACTTTGTAGAGATGGAAGCTAAGAGAGATTATGCAATAATGTAGCCTTAGTCACAGAATCAGTAAGAAGCAGAGCAACTAAAGAAGCCCAACAGCGAAGCTTATCCACTTCACTGCTCTCCTCTGCACGGCATGTCACCTCCCCTACTGACACAGAAGCCGGCATGAGCTAGAGGCATGGTACAAATTTTGGCAATTTTACTCTTTGGTGACTTTGCTCAGTTGAAACAGAAAACTTTGGTTCTTTTCAATGCCAAAAAATCAAACTTACAAATACATCTAAATCTGAGAGAACTAACGTGGATAACTAATTTAGAAAAATCATGTCCTGGGAATCTAGCAAGTACAAGTACTCTGTTACCCTCCCTACTTCAGGGCACTGTTCACTTGATAACTTATGCTACTCATAACACAAATTAACTTTTTTTTTTTTACCATCTCTGACTCTCTCTTTCCAGGTTATCACACAGGATTTTTATTTGTTTCTGATATACTTCCTTTGTTGCTCTAAAAACAAGAAAAATGTATTAGATTTTGCATTTGTGAGAGCTGTTAGAATACACACAAAAAAACTATGTATAATTCTTATGTACAATAAGTCTACCATCTAATTGGGTGATATAATTATCTTTGTGAAACAACTAAAGATTTTAGTGGCAGACTGATAGACAATGACAGTTTGTACAAGCACAAACTGATTTTGTAAGTATTGAGGTGACCATCACCTCAAGGTTAGGCAGGAACAGAGTCTGAGGATACAGCTGAAGAAGGGTTACTGCTAATGTTTAATAGAGGGAGGACTATGGATCACCAGATGGAGGTACAATCTCACCATGGAAAGTGTATCATCATTTGCAAAGATGCAGGGGAAGGAGCAGCAAATGAGGACTCTGGTGACCAAGAAGACTTGCTGCACACAGAGGACATGGAGAGAAACGACAAAGTGACCTGGGAGGGGCAAAGGCCAGCAAACTGGTGAGGAACTCTGGATTATAGATTGAGTCCTGATTTGATACAATGAATAATTTAAGAAGCCAATATACATTCTTGAACTGGAAGTAAGAAGTAATTAAGTATGGAAGACTATCTTGTGATCTAGGATGGAAAGAAATGTGAAGACATAGGTATTAGAAGTATTAGAGGCCTTTATTATTTTTATTCCCTTTGTCCCAATTAATTGCTTCATGCACAGAAATGAACTGAAGGCCACATAATTAAATATGACTTTATATCTTTTGAAATATTGGAATATTCATAAATAAAACTAAGAATATGAAATGCTATTAGATAAACTAGAAACACAACTGTGCTCATGTTTCTTTTCTTTATTTAAAATCATAATATGTGTTCTCAGTTTCCTACCTAAATAAATCTAATATCCTCCCTGGAACTCCAAGGTTCTTCACAAATTGCCCCAACCTTACTGATTTTATTTACTTATATCCACAAGTAAATAAATTATTTATTTAATTTAATTCACAAGGGAGTTGAACTTGTTCAAAATAAAACAACAATAATATTAAAAGTCCTAAATGGATACCAGTATTGGGCCACAGATTTGGCTCTGAGCTTCTGGTGACTGGAGCACAATTATGACACAATAATTAATCACAAAATTTGCATTATTCATGAGAGAAATAAAACCCTTATTCAACCCAATTGTTTTCCTGCTCTTTCATAAGGAAGAGATCATACTTTCCTTTCTGAAACTGACTGCTGAGAAATAGATGTTTAAATATATTATTTAACAATATAACAACAAACAATATGAAAATCTATACTTCCTGCCATGTTTTAGATTTCTGTTGATACGTGTCAAATTTTCATCATCACCTATCTGTTTCTGTTAACAATGATATCTCCATGGAGAGATAAGCTGGTCCCTTCACTGCCCTATATTCAAGCCATGTATCTCACTGTGTATGGTGATAATATTTCCCCATTTGATGAGCAGACAGAAATATCTGACTTGTTTTTAAAGGTCTAGTTCAAGTTTTAAATCCTTATATAACAAAGAATGACTCCTTACTTCACTTTCTTTCATCCTGTTTTTTTATAATATACACTCTATTCTTTAGTCATACATGGTTCATTAATTATTTCATGTGTGTTAGTCTTGCTTGTCTGCCCAACTAAAGTATAAGTTGCTTTACTAACACTATCAGTGTTGGTGGGAGTGTAAAATAGTAGAATATTTATTTAGGGTATTTAAAAAATAATATTAAAAAAGAAAAATATGCAACCCTCCCCACTTGGACCTGGTAATTCAACCTTTAGGGCTTTATAATAATGAAATAATCATGTAGGTGGACCAATATGTGTTAAAGGATGTTAACTTTGAAAATTGTTCACAACATAGGAAACAGAAAAAAAAATGTCCATCAATAAAGTACTGGTTAAATAAAATATAGTATAATCTGTAAAAAGAATACTATGTAGTCAGAGAAAAGAATGGGGAAAGAGGTCCCAAATATATAAACAACAGACAAGTGTAAAAATTAGTACAAAAAATTCCCATTAACCTTTCATCAACTTACCTAAATGCTACCATTTTACCATACTTATCATTCTTTTAGATCTAATTTTTTTCTAGCTTTATCAAGATACAATTGATGTGTAATATTGTGTAAGTTACCCAGGTATAATTTTAAATGGAAAAATTTCAGTTACAGAAGAGTACAATCCAAGTTTTGTATACACATACACATATAAATACATATATTCAAAAGTATATATATAGCAAGTGGTTAATGGTAATATCTCCATGGAGAGATGGAGAGATTAACTTTTACTTTCTAAGTTATACATTTTTATATTTAAATTTGAAAATCAAATATACTTTATTTTAAAATTAAAATTCTTTAATTAGAAAAAATTATTTCTCTAGTCATAAAAAATAAAATTAAAATTAAAGTGGTTTAGAATGGCAGAAATGAACATCATCAGGGGTCCCTGTTGTGATAATTTTGAGCATGTTCTTGTCACTTGACCCCGAAGTGGTCCATTCCTAGTGTCCAGCAGCTTGTATAGAACTCAGAACCTATCTTTCCAATGAAACATTCAGTCATAATGACTTTTCTGTACTGTTAAAACAGAGAACTAATTATAAACCTTTTCCATAGTATATTAGAAACTGATAATAGGTTTATTGTTACCATTTACAAAAAACTAAATGCAGAGAAGAATGAAGATTAATATATCAAAGGTAACAAACATACTGGTGAAGAGTGTGGAGTGTGACAAGTCCTTCTTCCATATTTTTGATATCTACTTTTCTTTGTGAGAGTAAATTTTCTTTCTGGTCAATTAATGTCAGTAGTTTCTGATTTCTACCATGAAAAAAGAAGAGTTAGCATATGTTTAAAGTGGAGATAATCTTTTTTAACTTCTCAGCATGAGAAATACACAACCACAAATATGAACTTAAAAAATTATTTAGAAAGCAGTTTGTGAAGTACTTACCAAAAAATTAGTAAACACAGAAACAAAGCATTTTTACTAGAAGTAGCTAAATCTAAACCTAAGAAAATTCCTAAGCCATGGGAAGAACATTAACTACAATTAAGAACCATAAAAGAAGAACACTTGTACAGCACTACTATTTTCTGAGGGGGTGTGTCTCCTTCAATGTATTTATCATTTCTGCCATGTTCTTTGGTGAAAGGTGAAGGAGTCAGCCAGACCAGACCGACTTTGAATACTGACTTTACCTCTTCCCAGCAGTGCGACCTTGAAGAGAAGCCCCACCTGTGGAAGGCCCTCAGTTCTCCCATCTATAACATGGGGCTCACACTAGCTAAATTACTGGCTGTGAGGATTAAATGAAATGTAAAGTGCTCAAACCAGGCATGGAACCCAAGAAGCATTTTATTAATAGTGCTTATTTTTTATCTCCAACTTACAGAGAGAATAAAGAGAAGCATACGGTTTTGTTCAAGTTTCCAGACATTGAAAGGAACATGCTGTAACAGAAAGTGCTTTATCTAAGTGTCTCATCTTCAAAATTGTTATGGACTGAATTTTGTACCCCCAAATCCCTATGTTGAAGCCCTAACCCCCAATGTGATGGTATTTTGGAGACGGGGCCATGGGAAGTGATTAGGTTTAGATGAGGTCATGAGGGTGCTCCCCACAACTCCCTCATAAGGAGGACACCAGAGAGCTTTCTCCTTCTCTGCCATATGAAGACACAATGAGGAAGCAGCTCTCTGCAGCTCAGGAAGAGAGCTCTCAGGAGAACCTGACTACACTGGTACCCTGAGCTGGGACATCCAGCCTGCAGAACTGTGAGAAATAAGTTTCTGTTGTTTAAACTACCTGGTCTGTGGTATTTTGTGATGGCAGCCATAGCTGAAAAGATGAAAACCACTAATGGTAGCAAACGTTTCAGTGTTACAATTACTTGTCAACTCATTTTATGATTACAACTGATAACCAACTTAGTATTGATCCAAGGAACATTTCTGCCTGAAACATGCTTATAGTATTATCCTCAGTAGGCTGATGAGATAAAATGATTGCAACAACTCTCTGCAGTTTGAAGGTTGCCGCAATTACCATGAACTCAGGTTCATGTAAGTGGGCCTGGACACTGGAATTACATACACTTCCATTGGATTTAACTTAGAGTATAGCAGTGGATTATTACTTACACAATTCATGCTTCCAAGATGTTATTTTGTAATATTCATGAAGGAAACATTGGTGAACACCCACCATCTGCTAAGAGGTCCTGGGGATATAGTGCTGAGTTAGACAGAACAATTGCCCTGATCTGTTCACAGTTCAGTGGGTCAAAGGGATTTGTACCCAGCTGATTACAATGCGGTGACTATTGAAAAGGAATAACATAAGAGGGATGTTTGGAAGGATCATTTTTGTGGAAGGGAGGTGGACAAGTTAAAGGTGCTAAAGCAGAAAGTGGGAGGAACTTTTGAGGGTAAGCCAAACCAAAGAGGCTGAATGGGGTAAAAAGAAGGGAGTTGGAAAGGAGGATAGGATATATTTGAAAAATAGTTGGGAGGTGGAATTGACAACCTTAGTGCTTGAATGGAATCTAATGGGTAATAAAATCATGGGATTTCTTTGAATAATTTCCCAGTCTCTGGGTTAGTGGATTGTGTCAATGACCAAACCCTTCTCTGAAGCAGGGAGTACAGCCGCAGAGTCAGTTTCTGATGAATGTAGATCTCATAGCTTCTCTAAATAATCTCCCATGGGATAAAAGCATGATTATTCTTTCAAGAACCTGGCTTACAAAAAAAAATAATTCAACTTTTTTTATGGATTTGATCTGACCCATATGAGGAAGAGTATTACTTAGTATATACATAGAAGCAGATCAGGACTGCATTCGCTATTGGGTAAAGAATATTTCATTGTTGTTAATAGCTTTTAAAACTAGAATAAGCATAAGTGGAGAGTCACAACTTTGAGAGCAAGGAAAGCGCTCCATAACCATGGTGTGTTGATTTATGTATGGATCATGGGTAGAACATACTCATCACAAATTTCCTGTTTCTCGATGAAAACTTTACCCTCCTCATGTAAAACAATCTTGTATTGTCTGAGAAGAGTATACAATTTCTCTTGTAGATCTTTGTTCTTTAAATGACCTTCATATAGTTTTTCAGCCATCTAAAAAAAAACAAAGGAATTGAAATAGAGGACTTGCTTCATGGATTCTTTGAGGGGAGTCAGGATCAGATGGGCAACTCTCCAGAGCACTGAGTATGTTACTTAGCACATAATGACTATGCCATAAATGTTGAGTGATTTAATTCCATATTAAATATGCAATTGTATATTTTACAGCTTCTTCTATGAATTATGGCAAAAGTGTAGAAAGGTAATAAACACTGATACAAAACCATAGGGTAATAATTCATATTGAAATAATATAGGGATTAACAGACTGAGATTATTTAGCAAGATCCGTATGTTCTTTTCCCAGAAGATAAACTAAACTGGGAAAAGAAAATGTAACATGAAAGAAGTTCTTGCTCAAAACCTCTTTGACCAGATACTATGCTTGCTTCTTATTGAATATTTCTATTTAAGTACAAGAATAGCATCCATAGTGTTTTGAGTGAGGTAAGGATTTTGTGCTTCAATGTCTCTATGGAATTGCTTCAAATGAGGTAAGAAAGTTCAGTTTAGTAGATATGGTGGGCTGAGCAATTCAAAATAACCTTTGGCTGAGATCACTGAAATACCCGGATGACAAAAAAATCTTAAAACTGTTGGAGAACTAACAAGATAATGAGGATTACTTAAGGCCCAATTCTATAAGAAAGCAAGGACCAGAGTTGTAAATCTAGCATTGAAAACTCCTTCTACCCTGAAGACATTTACATATATGGAAGAAACTACTTGGAAACTGAGTTTTAGTGCTTCTACATGAGCAGGGTGACAAAAGTCAATACTTAGAGCTCATCCAGGTGGTGAGCCTGATAAAACCACCACTTTAGTCTGGGACCCCAAGGAACTTAACCCTCTGGAGAAGGGTGAGTTGTAAACTAACAAGCCATAGTCCATCCTAATTTTGATCACCAGGAAACCTAAAGGTAGATTAAGGTGGTTCAGGACTGCTAACACCCCAGGCATCTGACAAAAGTGAATGAAAATCTGTTCCTGAGGAAGATACTATCCTCCTAGGCCTCAAATTGTTTCTACTAACATTTTTTTTTAATACAATGTCCAGAGTACAGTTTTCCACCAGGAACAGAAAGGAGTAGGACAGCATGAACAAAATTTGACAGAAACAACAGACTACAGAAACAGATCTACAAACATATCAGATAT